TCTCCGCCCTCACAGGCGGCATATGCCGCTTGGGAAGAGGGGGGCGGGGGCAAGGCATTGCCCGAGTAGGGGATCGACTACAGATTTGGTTTACCCCAGAATTGATCGTCCGCCGACTCAACGACAAATGCGTAGAGTGCTCCGTAGATCCTGGGCGCGCCAGGGAGAGGTCCAGAAGCGCCGCCAAGGGGGTCTATCGCAGATCTAAGAAACGTTTATGCTTATGTTTATGCAGTTTGTGTTCCTCTAAATTTCCCTGGACCTATTCCCTGGGACCGTTTTCCCGTTCTGGGTGCTTCTTCATCGCCGTGAGGCCCAGAAAAACGCTCCCCCTGGAGGCCGAATAGATCGAGCGGAAACGCCAGGATTCAGACAAAACAAGCCGTCGGCCGCCTCCAAACGTTTACTGTCATGCCGTTTGCTTTTGCACTGGGTCTCTGGAGCTCTGAGGCCCATGGACTGACAAGGCCACGACGTCGGAGGCCCGGGCCTATCGCCCGATTCGACGTTCGCCCCTCGCTCAGAGGCAGCCCCTGCGCGTGGCTGGCCCAGCTCCACTCCCATAGAAGGCTCGTGGCACTGGGGCACTTCCTCTTCCTGCTGGTCCTTCGCCTCCTCCTCCTCCTCATCCTCCTCATCATCATCATCATCATCATCATCATCATCATCATCATCACCACCATCACCACCGCCACTACCGTCCACCACTTGTCGTATCTCCTCCTCGCCCTCGTCATCAACATTACTACCAAATTCAGCATCACAGTCGCCACGACCATGGTCAGAATCACGATCTTGCTCAGAATCATCATCGTAATCATCACCATCCTCCTCCTTCACCATGGTCGTCACCATCATCAGCGTCAACATGATACTCATCGTCGTCGTAGTCGTCGTCGTGCCGTCATCATCATCATCATCATCACCATCAGCAGCATCATCGTCATCATCATCATAGCCACCATCAACTTGATCAGGATCATGATCATGATGATGATCAGCATCATCATCACCATCATCACCGTTATCCTCATCCTCATCATCCTCCTCCTCCTCATCCTCAGCATCATCACCATCACCATCACCATCATCCTCATCCTCATCATCGTCATCGTCATCATGATCATCATGATCATCATCAGCATCATCCTCATCATCATCATGTTCATCGCGCTCATCATCCTCATCATCATACAAATCATGTTCATTATCATCATCATCATCACCATCATCAGCAGCATCATCATCATCACCACCACCATCACCATCATCATCATCATCACCACCATAATCAGCATCATCATCAGCACCATCATCATCATCATCATCATCATCATCATCATCACAATCATCAGCATCATCATCAGCATCACCATCATCATCACCATCACAATCACCATCACCATCACCATCATCACCATCATCACCATCATCAACATCATCATCACCATCATCACCATCATCCTCATCCTCATCCTCATCCGCATCCTCATCATCATCGTCATCATCATCATGATCATCATCGTTATCACGATGCCCATCCCTCGCAAGTACGGCCTCCAGGGCCCCCTCGAAAGAGAGCCGCCGAGCATGCTGGGCTGTCACGTTGACGGGACTTGTCGCAGGCAGCTGGATATAACTATGTCATTGACCCCTTTCTACTCCTCCTTCTCTTCCTCCTTCTCCTCCTCTTTCTCGACGTCGTCCTCCTCCTCCTCGTCCTCGACCTCCCATCCCTCGCCTCTTCGTCGCGGACGTCACCTCTTCCCTCCTCCTCATCGCCTCAGGTATCGGAATCTGGAGGGCAAGGCCTCGCGCCAAGGGGGCTTCTTGTTCGGCCGGGTAGACGAAGCTTTTCAGGAGGAGGGCAGGTGCGAGGAGGTGGAAGGAGGAAGGGACGGATAGGAGGGTGGAATGGGGGAGGGGTGCTGGGTTTGCCCTCGACCCTCGAGTATCGAGGGAGGAGATGTTTGACAGTTTGGGGCAAGGTGTTGGGCGTGCGTTGCCCTTTTGGGTGGTCCCAGGGGGCCTCAGGAATTACCCGGGGCCCCCTTGGGAGCATGCGTGATCCAGGGCGGGACTAAACACACCTAGAGGAAGGAGGGGGAAGAATATGAAGAGGACGATAGAGGCGAGGAAAAGGAATCCGCCGAAAAGTGAACGGGAGGGCAGGAAGGCCGAAACTGCTTTTGGGCATTCGCGCGTCCAAGATGACCCAGAGGGTTCTGCGGCGTCGCCGATGCAGCCCAAGAGGCTTCCCAGATGAGGCCAACGGCCTGAAGGAACCCCAGTCCCAAGATGGCCCAAAAATTGCTGCTCGAGGCTGCCCGAGTCCCCAAGAAGGCCCCAAGACGGCCCAAACGGACCTCTGGAATCCTAAGACGGCCGAGAATGTGGCCAAGATGGCCCTCGAGGCAGGGCCTAATGGCATCGCCAAGACAGCCCAAGAGGCTTCCACGACAACGCAAAAGGCCTCAAGAGGCATCAAGAGGTCTCAACAAAAGTCCAAGACACGTCAGAAGACCCCGAAGAGGCCTTAATAGCCTCAACACAACCCAAATCCTTCAAACATCCGCCGACACTCTCGGCGTGTGGAAGAGGCTGTTCCGTTTGACTCGTCTTCGTCGACGTTGTCGTCGTCGTCGCCGTCGCGTCGCCGCTCCCTCTCTTTCCCTTGGCCCGTCGCCGCCCTCCCCTTTTCCTGGGCCCTCCTCCTCCTCCTCAAGCGCGCCAGCCAAATTGAAATTGAGCAACGTCGTAATTGAGTCGAAGGAAGCCCCTTCCCTTTGATCCCTTCCCCGCCAGGGAGGGGGTCCCAGGGGGTCCCGCGGGGATGGTCGCGGGGGGGTTCCCGGTCAGAATGCCACCCCCCCTGGTGGGGGTCGGGGCCCAAGAAAGTCCCAAGAGGAGCCAAAAGTGCCCGAAGAGGCCTCCAAGACGGTCCAAGAGGACCCCGAATCGCCGAACGATCGGTCCAAGCCGTCTTTCTGGCCTCCAGACGGCCCAAAAGGGCTGGAAGACTCCCCAAGAGGCCTCGAAGAGCACTCCCAAGAGAGCCCCAAGAGGCAAAATTCACTGATTTTCCTAAAGTGTTTCAATCATTTGGGCGTTCTCGCCTTGTCAGCTTGCCGAAGCTCGAAAACTGCCCGAGAGGCTCCAACGATCGCCCCAAGAGGCCTCCAAGAGGGTCCCGACACGGGCCAAAGAGGGCCCAAAGAGGGCCTAAGACGCCAGCAAGACGGCCCAAGAGGCCCCCAAGAGGGCTCCAAGAGGGTGCCCAGACAGGGGAACCGAACGGACATTTCGAGCCCTCGGCCCTGAGAGGCTCCCAGAAAGCCCCAAGAGGCTCCAAAGAGGCCCCCAAGAGGCTCCCAAGAGGGCCCCCAAGAGGCTCCAAAGAGGCCCCCAAGAGGCTCCAAAGAGGCCCCCAAGAGGCTCCCAAGAGGCTCCCAAGAGGCCTCCAAAATGCTCCCAAGGGGCCCCCAAAACTGCCCCCCAGAGGCCTCCGAGAGCGCTCCGAGTAGACCCCAAACAGATGCCTGTGGACTCTGATTCACGTCAGCGTCGTCGTCGTCGTCGTCGTCACGTCGTCGTCGTCGTCGTCGTCGTCGTCGTCGTCGTCGTCGTCGTCGTCGTCGTCGTCGTCGTCGTCGTCGTCGTCGTCGTCGTCACGTCGTCGGCGGCGGCGGCGGCGTCGTCGTCGTCGTCGGCGGCGGCGGCGGCGGCGGCGGCGACGGCGACGTCGTCGTCGTCGTCGTCGTCGTCGTCGTCGACGTCGTCATCGTCGTCGTCGTCCCCCTTCAGGGTCAGCGGCACCAGCCGTAAGGCCTTCGAAATCTTGGTTTCGTTCAATGCTCTTTGCTTTCCAGCCTGTTCGGCCCAAGGTGGCCACAGCGTGTGTGTGCAAGAGGGCCCCATAGGGGGCCTCGAGAGGGCTGCAAGACGGCCAAGAGGGTCCCAAGATGGGCCCAGGACTGCCCAAGAGAGCGTTCGGATTGCCCAAGACGGTGTGACAAGCCGCTAATATGGCCTCATACATTCACCAAGACGCTAGCCAAGAGTGAGCCCAAGTGTGTTTAAGGAGGCGGCCAGGACAGCCCAAGAGGCTTCCAGACGATCAAAGAAGCACCCCCCACACAAGTACGATAGGCGCAACAAAAGGCCTCGAGTTTCCAATCAGCCAATGCTTTCCGAAACGCTGAAAATGTTCAGTGCTTGTGGATTCCCTACCTTTTCTGCCCAAGATGGCTGCAAGACTGACCGGAAAATCTGATTCGACGTTGCGTGGATGCACATGAATCATCGCAGCCGCACGCGTGCCACAGCTCCTGTAATGACAATATTGCAGTTGCCAGCCTGGACACAAGCTGTGGATCGAGGACGATGCTGCCCAAGCCGCTGACAAGAACGAGGCTGATGTTGCCCTGTACACCGACAATCCGACGGCGATGGCGGCACTCCGAAGGGGCCATTCCGGCGCCCTGTCGACCTGGCTCAAAGCCTCGGCCCGAGAAACGTAGCTGGCCTAGACAAGAGCGTGAGATCAAGTGAGGTACTGCCTACGCCGCTGGCAAAAATCTGACGTCGACAAGTTCACCGATGATGCCGACGCCGCTGATAGCTGCAGGCCGACGGGTGCCATTCCGGCTCCCTGTTGACCTCGCTTAGGGCCCTAGCCCGACGGACAGCCTGGCCCTAGACATGGGCAGGGATGGGGTCAGGTGAGATGCTGCCTAACTAACAAAAAATGAGCTGATGATGCCAGGGGACTGTACACTGGCGACAACAACGGCTCCGAGGAGATCCCTGTGCGGCCCCCATGCCTGGAAGCACGCGAGGGCGCTCCTCTCTGTCCCATCCTCCCTGCCCCCTCCTCTCCCTCCTCTCTCACCGTCCCTCCTCCAATCTCCCCTCTCCCCTCCCACTCCACCTCGCCCCTACCTGCTCCCCCATCCCTCCTCCCTCCCCGCAGAGGAAGGCCTCGGCTCGAAGGCGCATCGTCAGAAGTGCTCCCTGAAGTAACAGAAGGAGGTCCCCAAGGAGCCGGCGCCTGGCGGGTCGCTCCTCTTCTGAGCCTGCTTCAGGAGCTTCGCGCCCACGTCATTAGAGCCGCAGAGGAACACGCCGACGTTGCAGCCTGGGTGCTCCGCCTTGACAGCCTCGAAGACGGCGCCCCACCTCGGTCGACCCACGTGCAGACGCTGCTCGCTCCGACAGGGCAGCGGCTCGAGCTGTGTGGTGTCCACCTCCGGCGCGATGAAGATGGTCACGTGCAGGATGGCCTTGGCGGGGCCCTCCGCGGCCCCCACGAGCATGCTGTGGCACCACTGCAATTCGGCGGTGCTGCGGACCAGCCAGTACAGGTGGATCCGGCCTGGCACCTGGACCGCGTGCCGCACGAGGTCCGCGGCAGCGAGGTCGCTGCTCCAGGCACTACCACCGCCGCTGCCCGAAGGTCTCGCACCCGAGGCCCTGGAGGCACCCACCACGGACGTCAACCTTGAGTTGGCACCCTGCTGAGAGGCCGCCGTCTCCCGCATCTGCCTCAGCCTGGCGTCGCTGCTGAGAGCAGCGCTGGGAGTGCCGTCGCCACCACCGCCGAACAAGTCGGCGTTGCTCTTGCTGCCCGTGGCGGCCAGCATCTGCGCCCGCCGCTGCGCACGCATCTGCACGGAACGTAGGATCGAGACGACTGGCGTGGTGTTGAAGCCCACACCGACCAGCATGACGGCGCTAAACTCGAAGACCCTGGACGAGATGGGGCCGAAAGGTCCTGCCATCTTGATGGCTACGGTATCCCCGGCGTCTACGGGCCTCGCCATCTGCAAGACGATAGGGTCGTCCACATGGCGCGTGTTGACCCTCTTTGGATCGTCCTTTGGTCTGCTTTCGCTCCGCGGCACGCTGACCGTACCGCTCGACAGAACGAGAGGCTCGTACTCTACGGTGGTCCCCGGCGCGGGCTCTCCGCTGAGCTTGCTCGTGTGCGCCGCCTTCGGCGCATCCACGAGCACGCGCTGACGAAGCGCGGCGCACCAGTCGTACTCTGGTGGGGCGCGGAGGTGCACCGACAGGAGTCGCTCCTCAGGCGCAGAGGTCAGCGTGAAAGGGTGCCACTCCCCGCGCCAGTTTAGGAGAATGTACTGGCCAGCGTGGTAGGAGAATCCTTCTGGAACCTCCAATGCCAAGTGAAGCACATCCTGACCGACCAGCCGCGCACTGAAGAGCACCGCTGGGTAGAGCTGCCGCTGCACGAGGAGCAGCTTGTCGAGGATGTAGCAGGCCAGGGGGAAGAAGAGCCACGCGTAGAGGCGGGGCGTCCCGTGCAGTATCACTAACAGGTAGAACAGCGGCCACAGCATGTGCGCTCGCTGGTACATGTTGAATCCGCCACACAACTTGAGGCACGGCCAGACCCTTTGCGCGTAGTCGAACCGGGGAGCGGCCGCCACGAACAGCACGACGAGGAGCATCAGGGCAAGCAGGCCCGTGAAGTTCGTCCACGTTAGCAGCTGGTCGGCCACCGGTGCGCCAGACTGCATCTGCTCAACGGTAAGCCGCCACACGCCCAACGGGTCCTTCTGGAGGGGCACACCCTGTGCTACCGCGCCGATGTGCCTGAAGTGACCTCCCACGTGCACGCACGTCCAAATGCCTGTGAGCATGCCAACCTTGGTTTGCAGCATGAACGGGTCGTCGATCGGGATCCAGTCTCGCAACATGGTGCCGCTACCACGGAGCGCGGTGTGAAGGCTTTTCAGCGAGGGCAGGATGCCAACGGCCAGGTTGAGGCTCAGCGCGTAACCAGCACCAGCCGCCGTGGCCCAAGCGCTGTTCCTGCTTACTCCCCAAGTCTTAAGCTGGCTGCCCACCGTGAAGAAGCCCCAGAAGAAGACAACCATGTTCAGCATGACGTAGATCGCGACTGCAAGCCTTTGTCCCTCTGCGCAACCCATGCACACGAGAGCGCGGCCAGCCCGGTCACTACCCCAAGGCTTCGTGAGGCAGCCCCCCGGGGACGGGAAGTTCTCATCGTGGGACGACCTGGGGCCCGAGGCAGACGATGCGGCCACCGGTAAGACGGTCACCTGGCCGGAGGCCACCGTGTTGTCCCCCGACTTGCAGGCCTTGCGCTTGGCCTCCATCTCATCCAACGTCTGTGGCCTGATGAACCACTTCAGTACCCGCGGCCTATCCGCCACCGTGCCACTATGCACGAAGTAGAATTTCCTCAGGCACCTTCGAATTATCTATGTTGTAAAATGCTCACTACGGGATCCAACCCCGGATTCCTGGAAATCTAGGGCGCTCTTGGGCTTCTATGGCGCTTTCCGTGGCGCTTCTGTGGCTTCTTCGTTGAAGTGCTCCTTGCGGGCCGCTCCCAAAATGCCAGGGGCAAACGTAGTTCTCACGTGATTTGAACATTCCGGCTTTTCGGTCGTACGGCTGAGGGAACAAAAGTAAGCAACACTTCCCCCCTCCCCCACAATTCAAAATTGGCACGGTTACGCATCACCGCTCGGATACTCAAACTCGGAAGATCCGAAACCAACATTGCATTCCATTCGGGGGGAAGCGCGTGTGCATGCTGCATAATTGTTTCCGACACCAGTATCGAGCGTCCAAGATGGCCCAAGGCCCCCAACATCGCGACAAGACTTCCCGATACCCCCAAAACGGCCCCAAGAGAGGAGGTCCCAAGATACCTCCACGAGGCCCCCAAAAAGCTTCCAAGAGGCTCTCAAGAAGCCCCCGAAAGGCCTCCCAAAAGATCTCGAGCGACCGGAAGAGACTTCTAAGAGGCCTCAGGTCCACGACCCAAGCACGGTGGCGGGATGGGCCGAAGGCCACTGTATCTGCGGGCCCTGTGCTTGCCAAAGGGGTGCACAGCGTGCCAAATATTAGGTAGGCCTTCGGCCAATCCCGCCGGCCGCCCGGAAAGACGCGCAAGGACAGGACACACAGGGAGGGGAACAACCGGAAAACTCGCATCTAAGATGGCCCAAGATGGCGCCAAGATGCCTCCAGCACGGCCAAGATGGCCCCAGAGACGATCCCAAGGCGCCTCTAAGACTGCCAAGATGGCCCCAAGACGTCCCATATGTCGCCCAGGACCAGGAGGCCCCTCAGACGACCCAAGAAGGCTCCAGGAGAACATCAAGGAGGCCAACATATGCCAAAATCCTTGATTTCCCATAGGTTTTGTTCAATGATCTTAGCGTTCTCGCCGTTTCGGGCACTCGACGCTCCATGACCAAGATCGCCCCAAGACAGCCCATGAGGCCCCCAAGAGGGCCCCAAGACAACCCAAGAGGGCCACAAGACAACCCATGAGGCCCCAAAGACGGCCCCAGAGACTTCCAAGACGGCCCTGAAGCGCCCAGAGAGGAGGAACCCACGACTGCCCAGGGAGGGCCCAAGACGGCCTTCGAAATGCCCCAAGAAGGTCCCAAGAGGACCTCCAGGAAGCCCAAGTCTTTGATTTTCGGTAAGGACGTACCAATGATTTTAACGTTTTTCCCGTTTCGGGCACCCGACGCTACAAGACTGGCCTATAAGCCCCCAGTATCGCCCCAAAAGGCTGCCAAGAGGGCCGCAAGAGGACCCCAAGACAGCCCAAGAGGGCCCCAAGACAGCCCAAGAGGCCCCCAAGGCGATCCCAGAGACCTACAAGATGGACCTGAGGCGCCCAAATAGGGACCAACGACTGCCCAGGGATGGCCCAAGACGGCCTCTGAAGGCCAAAAAGCCACTTAGACGCACCACGAGGGCTCCAAGAAAACCTACAGGAAGCTAAACATTAGTGGTGTACCGACGGTGTGCCCATGCTTTCAGCATAGTTTAGCGTTCTCGCCGTTTCGGACACCCGACGCTCCACGACGGGTCAATAAGCCCCCAAGATCGCCCCATGTGATGCGACGCGACCACCGTTGCGGACAGCCTCTGGACCTAGCTCAGACCAGGCGGGTGAGGCCGTGGCCTAGATAATCTGGTTTATCTGAATACATGCGATGCGAGGCTCAGAAACAGTTAGGAGGAGAGGAGGCGGAGAACGAGGAATTCCTTGGTGTCGGTGTCGGCGCGGGCTGGGCGCGTCGCCAGAGGGCCCCCAAAGGCTCCCAAGAGGACCCCAAGGCAGCCCACAACGGCCCAGACAGTCCAGGAGGCCCCCACGGCGACCCCAGAGACCTCCAAGATGGCCCTAAGGTGCCCCAATAGAGAAGATCCAGGAGGCCAAAATCCTTGATGTGCCTTAGGTGCTGTTCGATGATTTTAGCGTTCGCGCCGTTTCGGGCACCCGACGCTCCACGACCAAGATCGCCCCAAAACAACCCAATAGGGCCCCAATACGGCCCCAAGCTAACCCAAGAGGGCCACAAGACAATCCAAGAGGGCCCACAACGGCCCCAAGACGGCCCCAGAAACTTCCAAGAAGACCCCGAAGCGCCCAAAGAGGGACCCATGAATGCCCAAGGAGGGCCCAAGACGGCCTTTGAAGGCCAAGAGACCTCTTAGACGGCCCAAGGGGGCTCCAAGAGGACCTCCAGGAGGCTAAAATCCTTGATTGTCATGCGGCTTTTCAATGAATCTGGCGTTCTCGCCGTTTCGGGCTTCCGACGCTCCAAGACGGTCCCATGCCCCCCCCCCCCCAAAGATCGCCCCAAGACGGCCCAAGCGGCCCCCAAGATGGCCCAAAAGGGCCCCCAAACAGCCTGTTAGGCCCCCACGGCGGCCCTAAAGCGGGCCCCAAGACAGCCTCCGAAGGCCAAGAGGTCCCATAGAGGCCCCCAGAGGCCTCTAAGAGGTCCGCCAGAGGCCCCTAAGAGGCCCGCCAGAGGCCCCAAGAGCACCCCAAGAGGCCCCAGGAGGCTCCCAAGAGGCCACTTAGAGCCCCCAAAAAAGGCTCCAAGGAAGCCCCCAGGAGGCCTCAAGAGGGCCTCAAGAGGCCTACCCTTTTTCCTCCTCATCCTTCTTCTCCCTCTCCTCCTCCTCCTCCTCCTCCTCCTCCTCCTCCTCCTCCTCCTCCTCCTCCTCCTCATCCGCCTCCTCGTCCTCGTCCTCCTCCTTTTATTTCCCTCTCCCCAGTGTTCCATCGAAGGGTTTAACAACGGCTGGGGGAAGACATTATCCCATAGCTTGCCAGACTTCGGCCCAGCGTTTGGCGCATGGGCGTTTCCAAAGGTAGGGGGCGGCGGTGATTCGCCGTAAGCGCCTTTGATATTTGGGGGAAAATAGCCACGACCGTGGGTTGTAGTATGCGTACACGGCAGCGCTGAGGTAGCTAACCAGAGCAGCCCCCAGGAACGAGCCGATAGTCACGAGCAGGATTTCCCACCACTTCAACTTTTTGGGCACGACGCGGATCGTGGCTTTCTGAGATCGGTTGGAGAAGTCGTTGTTTCTTGTGCTCATGACCTTGTGCTCGCCGACTTGCTTCATCTCGATCACACCCCCATCAAAGTATGCCGAAGCGCCGTTCAACTGCTGGCAATCGGTCACGCTGTTATCCTCGTTGGGGTTGGGGTTCTGGTCACACGTGACGATGTAGTTCTGGTTGAGGTAGGCCATCTTGCGGAGGTTGGCCAGGCCCTCCTCGTTGTCGGGGTCTCCAGCCGCATCGTAGAACAACGTGTGGCCTTCTTTCGACATCGGAATATTCTGCTCGCGCGTATCCATTTGGACCAGGTTCGAGCGGTCGGTGCCCTGGCGGCCGTTACCATCGTTGCCCTTGTTGTTGGCATCCGAACCCGTCCACTGGAAATGCAAGAAGTCCCCTTCCTCCACCGTCAGATCGTTGGGCACGAAATCGTACTCGACCGCCGGGTATACCTGCACGATGTTCCCGCGGCGCCCGCGCACGTTGTAGTTGACAATTCTGGCACCGTCGGGGACCTCGGAAGGACGAGCGTTCACATAGAAGCTGTGGGTCCGGTCTTGGAAGGTGCGACTGTATTGATCCGTGTTCAGGTTCATCTGGAGCAGGTAGTCAGGACCGAGGTTGACGAAGTCGGAGATCGGGTCCTGGGGCAGGACGGGCGGACCCCCCGTGAAGATCGACCGGCGGCGGCTGCCCGGGTCTGGGTCGTTCTGCGCGGAGTCGACGAAGAAGTAGTCGCTCCCGATGTCCTGCGAGCGGAACACCGAGCCCGAGGCCTCCTCCGCCAGCCTCCTCGCCGCCGCCGCGCTGCCCAACCTGCCGAGCCTCCGCCCCTCGTCGGCGGGGCCTCCGCCGCTCGCCGTGGACCCTGGGCGGAAATCGCCAGTGCTGATGTTGTAGCGCAGGCGCAGCGCGCAGCGGCCCTCCAGGCCCTCGGGGATCTTCCAGATGAAGTACTGCGGGTGGGCTCCCTCCGAGTTGCCGTTGTGGTTGTCGCGCTGCCGCACGCCGGCGACGCACTGCGGCGGAGGCTCATCGAAGGCGGGCTGCTCCTGCCACGACGCGCCGCTGGCGACGCAGGCCGCTTCGTTGTTGTGCTGCGGGTCGCTGCAATAGTTCTTCGCCTTGACGTTCTGCGACTCTGCCCGATAATAGTCGCACCGCCTTTCCGGCTCGTCGGTGATGACGGCGATGTCGTGCCAAGGTGTGGGATGCCAGTAGGGGTAGTAGTCCCGCTCCTCTGGACACTCGAGTCCGTTCCTCTGGTTGGGGCCGTTCCCGTTCGGATTCTGCCTCGTGGCGGTGGCTCCCCGGATGTCGTTCATCTTCTGGTCTGCAGTGTAGAGGCCCTTGTTCCGCTCACGCGCGCGACAATCGAGGTAGAACTGCAGCGGCTCCTGCTGTCCAAGAAGGTAGTCTCCGTTCCCGTTCTTGGCGTCTGCCTCTTCTGCGGTGGGAATTTCCTGCTCGCCGCCGGCGGTGTTCTCATTCCCTCGTTTGACGCCGTCCCGCAGCCCTGGGTTATCGCTGTCGCACATGTACTGCAGGATCACCTGACAGATTGTGTTTGGGTTGCCGAAACCACAGGAGTGCTGCAAGGCCCACTCGATGTAGAGCTCGGAGCCCGCGTAGAAGGTCAGCTGGCCCTTCATCGCGCCGGGCTGGCTCTCATCGTAGTTGCGGTTGGCGTCCTGGCAGACAGGCTGGCAGTTGTCACCGATCTGGTACCCGCCCTGGTTGTTGTTCTGGGAGTCGAACAGGCGCTGGTTGTTGGCGACGTTGTTGCTCTGCTCCGAGAGCTTGTTGTTGGAGCCCCGCGGGTTGTGCAGGTAGACGTCGCCTCGGACAGCGGGCACCCACAGCGAGGCCGCCAGCCAGGCGCGCAGCGGCGACGCGCGGCGCGCCATCCGGCGGGGTGCGGCGGGGTGCCGAGGTGACGTCTGCGGCCGCGCGGAAACCTCCTGCTGCCAGAACGGTGGGGGCACGGCGGGCTGGAGAGTCGCCTCGGGCCAGGGATGGCTGCGGAGGGGGGTCAGAGCGAAGAGAGGATGAAGCAGAGGCAGGAGGAGGAGGCAGACCGAGCAGGACAGGCGGTGGCAGGAGCAGCAAGAGAGGGAGGACCGGGAGGACAAGGGCAACGACACCTGCGACGATGACGCGGACGAGCAGGCAACAGAAAAAGGACGAGAAGGAGGGGGATGCACGAGGAACACGTCGGGGGATGAAGGGAAGGAAGAGGGGGGAATGAGCTTGACGGGGGGAGGGTAAAGGACCGCGAGAGGGGGGAGGAGGAAGAAGGAAGGGGAGGAAGAGGAGGAAAAAGGAAGAGGAGGAAGAGGAGGAGAAGGATGAGGAGGAGGAGGACGACGATGACGACGACAAGGGTGCATGAGGATGAGGAGAGAGGGGAGGAGGGAGGAGGGGTGAGCGAAGAGTGGCGAGAGAGGGTGGAGGTAGGGAGACATTCGGGGAGGACGGAGAGAGGATGATGGAAGGAGGGAGAAGGTGCCGTGAGCAAGTGACCACCAGTTTTCGGCGAGGACAACCCCCAAACCAGAATGACAATGCAGGGGGTCGAAGAAACCAGGGACGAACGACGAAGGCACCTGGATCTAAAAGACACGATGATCGATTGGCCTGTCGACACCAATGAGGTGTCCCCAAACAGCGAATAACAATCTGACCACATAAGGCAGAAGGGAAACAGAGGGAGAAGGAAAGATAGTGGAAAGACGGGGTCAGGAAGAACATGAGGAGAACAAGGAGGAGGAACAAGAAAAAGGAAGAAAGAAAAGGAGGAGGAGGAGGAGGGATAAGCGATGAACGGGCAGATGGAAGAGGGGGAGACGAGGAGTGAGCAGTGGCATCTGTTTGAGTTTGTTGGGGAGCCCCTTCGTGTACCAGTTTCTTCTTTCTTCTTTCACACCATTGGCGCCGATTTTTGAGCACGCACAGCTAGCCTTCGACACTGAAGCTCACCACAGATACTGCAACTCGGAGCGATGTCCCTGCTTTATCGCGGGCCGAAAAAACCCAAGTGGTGGTCTCGCAGCCGACGGGCTCGGGCGAGGCCCCAGCCTGAGCCCCACGACCTCCGACACGTGGAGAGATCGAGGGGATCAAAAGGAGCGGTTACTGGGATCGGTGCCACATTCTAACTTGATTCAAAACGTGCTCGCTCGAAACTAAGCTCCCAAAGTTTCGGCTACCAGGGAAAACATTCTTAGAGGCCAAAAACATAGCACACACCCGCATATCTGAAACAGGCGGAGGGGTGGAGGAGGAGGGCAGGGCCGCTCGGACTCATTTTCACTCGGACTCTTGTTCGCCCGAAGGGCTCCGAAGGCGTGCGGGTGAACGACGCAGCTGCTCCAGATGCTGTCTCCGCTGCGGCCGTCGGTGTCGCCGTCGTGGTACCAGCAGCTCCATATGCTGTCTCCACTGCGCCAGTCGGTGCCGCCGTCGTGGTACTGTCTACATCAGCAGCTGCTCCACCCAGTCCTGAAGCTCGCGCTCCATGTGAGTCGCTGGTGAACGGCCGAACTTGCGCTTCGCGGAGGTGGTCTTGAGGGCTGCCGCCAAGTACTTTCTAAACTGGTGGTCGCGCACGGAAGCGTCACTCGCTTCTTCTCCTTCTCGTACGCGCGGTCGATCTTGCAGAAGAGCACCAGCTCGCACTTCTGCTCGTTGTCGTAGCTGTCGTAGTCCGCGTACATCTGGTCAACGTGGCGCTTGACTTGATCGTCGAGTGGTAACTCCTTCGCTGCCAATAGTAATCGGCCCATCGCGTATATCTGAGGTGGCCCCAGGTCGTGATTGTTGCCCTTCTCTTTTGTGAGCTTGCCGCATGCCGCAGTCTGCCCCTGGATGCGAAGGATGATCGTGCCGTCGCTGTCGAGGACCTAGGTGTCGAAGATCGCGCTACTCATGTCCCTGTTCTGCCGGGCGCACCAAAGGATGGGCTTCGCGATCAGGATCAACAGCGCCTTCATGCGCCCAGGGAACTGCTGCTTCGCCGCCTCGTGGTGTTTTTCTTCTTGCTGTCGTCGGTTTCCTCTCGGCGCTGGCGTTGCTCTGGAAGCCGACCTCCTCCTGGTCGCCGCTGTTGCCGCCGCCGATTTGCAAGAATGCAGGCATAATCCAAGCGCGGGCTTGGTCGTGGCAGGTGCGCCTGTCTGCAGTGCTCGCAGAGGGAGGCCAGATCCGAAAGGCTGCGGAGCGCGTCGAGCAGCTCGGGTCGGCCACTTCTTTTAGGGCCCACGTCATCGTGTTTTCCCATTCGGCATCTTCCTCGAGCGCAGGCAAAGATTAGGTGGTTCTGGGCACAGACTTTACTCTTCAGGACTGCGTGGCAATACGGGCACTGGTTCGTAACCACGCTGCACGGGTTCGTAAAGCGGAGCTTATGCCGAGAGGCTTGATGAGTAGTCAGCCGTCGGCAGCTAGGGAATGATAGTTAGCATGCTTGTCCAGTTTCGTGGTCCAGCAATTCAAATTTGTCTACCTTCGGAATCGTGCCGAACATGTCAATCGGCTGGTCGTAGAAGCGGGTCCAAATCGGGCCCCCTGGGGCGTGTGCTGCTGCTCGTAGCATAGCGGGATCTAGTCGTAGAAATGCTCGTTCGGTCTCGGTGTTCGGGATGAGGAGTTCCTTCCAGGATTCGTCTGAGAGGGCCCAGGTCTCCCAAAAGCTTTCCTCGCCGCTGAGAGCGAAACAGGTCGAGGTCCCTTGAGAACTGGTGGGCCCAGGGGTTCGCTGTAGCTTCGATGCGGCCGCGTTCGTCCAGAGTGTGGGGCTCGCTCGGGACGTGACCGAAGATGGCGACGATTGTTTGTCTATGTGCTGGCCTAAATCGACACATGCTCTGAAGCAATTTGGCAGTAGCTCCCAGTGCTTGAAAACCTCGACGTTGCTCATCGCAGTCATGTGCGAGTCGACGTGGATCGTCTTGGCGCGACCCTACATTAAGGCGCGAGGGTATTTCACGGCTTGGGAGTCGAGCGTTTTCTCCTCGGTTTTCTGCAAGACGCAGGCCTCCAGACCCGAGATCCCCGCCTCCACCGCCTTCCAAGAACATATTTTTCTTCGGCTTCCAGCGGCCCTTCTCGTTCCAAAACTTCCCGCGCCATCCGGCGATCATAGCCCTCAGACGGTTAGTGATCTCCAGCTGGTTGCTGTCTGTCATGGTATACCTGGCTCCAAGATGTCTTGCATCAGAGACGACTTGGCCCCGTTGCGCCGGGCAGGTATCCCGGGGCTTCTTGTTTTCAACGTGCAATCCCAAACGCGGCGCGATATCTTTTTTCTTCTGTGCATTCTGCGCAAAGTGCCCGTGGTGAAGTGCATGATCGAAAATTATGTCGCCTGACTCAGTCATCTCCATCGCCTCCGTCGCCGTACCTGTCGGGCGCAGCCTCTTATTCAGTGGGTCGTCGGCGAAGCCCAACAGGGAGACGTCCTGGCGCAGGCCCTCCAGCTCGTCATACATGATGAAAGGCTCCTGGGCGATGTGCTTCCAATCCGAGATGCAATCTGCTTGGGTGCCTCGCTTGAACCTAGGGTTCCTCGCTTGAACCTTGTAGGCCTCCATGTTGTAGGAGAAAAAAACCTGCCCCTTATCTTCCACGGGAATGAGCACGATGCTGTTCACGAGTCATTGGTGTGCCAGAGCGCGCAGGGTCCTCTCGAACCAGTTGTTGAGTAATATGAAATATATCTCCCGTGCGTGGGCAGAGGAACGCGTTGGTAAGGTCCTGCAGCTCGTTGATGCGGCGTTGCCTCCGCCGTCGGACTGACCGCCCAGTTCGTCGTTGAATATGCATAGCTCCTTCTCGGCGCCTATGCGCCAGAAAACCGTGCCAGCGACTGGGCGCGGCATCCGACCGCTCCAATTTTCTGCCCCCCAGTTGTAAAGAACGGCGTAGAAGCTCTTCCAGATGGTGTCCTATAAGTGCGTGATCCTCTGGCTGTTCATCTTCTTCTTCTGGTTCCGCTTGTCGAGCAGGATGCCCTCTGTGATGCTGGACTTGGTAGGCAGCTGGTCGGCTTTGAGGCAGTGGGTCAGGATCTCGACGAGGTGTGAACGGGCCGTGGTATAGGTCGAGGCTGCCTCCAAGATATTATGTCGTCCGTCTCGTGCTCGGGGTCGTGGTTCGGGTGCTGGCTGTGGTGGGGCTGGCGGCAGTGGTGGGTGGTCGTCGTCATCTCCCAAGTCCGCGAGGGGGTCGGCTTCCTCGCAATCCGCATCGTCGGCGACCCCCCTGCCCTCGGAGTCTTGTCCGCCGGAGGGGCTTCCGGAGGCGCGCGGGTGAACGGCGGTGGCCGGGGCGAAGTTGATCGGGATGATCGCCGCTGCTGTCGCGCTCGTCGTAGTTGTCGTTTTTGCTGGAGCGGCGTTCGCCTCAGCGCTCTGCGTGAAGTAGCCTGCGCCACCCTGGGTAGTCAACGCCTTTGCGAGGTAGGTCGGGTCTAGGCTCATCAGCAGTATTTCGACGGGCACGCTCCACTTGGCGGTGCTGCGCCGCTTCTTCGCCATGCGTAGCTTAGCCGGCAGCTGTTGGAATAATGTTTCCGCCGTGATCTCCATCGTAACCGTTCGTATCCGTAGAAAGTCACCCTCACGTGGTCCCAGAAATTGCCCCACTTCTGCATGTAGGTCGATGTGTCTGGCCCCCATGCCTTCTTCATGTCCCGGTCGCTCGATGCGGGGGAGGATCTCGGGCAGCGTTGGCCTGTAGCTCGGTGGGTGACAGTTGATGCGGTTCTTAACTCCCATCGCCTTCCCAGCCAGTTGCCTAGCGAGTCGGCGCGCGTCTGCAGCGTGCCCGCGAATGCGGGCCTCCACCAGCTCCTGGTACAAGTGCTTGCGGTGCGTAGCGTAGCCCTGCCGTGCTGGTCGTCTGATCTGGTAGGTTAGCTCGCGAATTTCCGCCTTGAGGGTGTCTAGATAGGCTTCGTGCTGATCTAGCGCCATGCCGTATACTTGCCATATGTGGGCGAGTTGCTCACGAGTGTGTCTGCGAGCTCGAATTTTCTCAAGTCGGAGCTTGCGCCAGTGCTCTACCTCTTCGCTGATGTTTTGGCCGCCGTTCTTGCCAAGATGGTCCTGGGCGGTCTCCAGCAGGGTAGCTGCCCGCAGGTCGTAGTCATAATCAGGATGCGCGTGTTCTGCGTGCTCGGCCAGCTGGTGGGTGATGTTCGTCATCTTTTCGTCCAAATCTCGGTGAAATTCGAGTCGCACAACGCCGTGCTGCAGAGCTTGCGCCATCTTCGTATAGTCCCAGCGTGGGCGTAGAGATCTGCGCACATAATTACGTCGGCATCTCGTAGTCGATAACGAAAAATACTGGAAGGTGATCCCGTGGAGCTGCATCTGGTATCATCTGTAATTTGTGGCCGCGCTTCCAGGCGACCGTGCATGTCTTTACGCCTTCCAGCAGAGATGACGCACTGATGCCGATGTCCAGCGTGCTGGTGTCGCTGATGGGGCCGAAGAAGGTGGGTCCTGCTTCGGGAAAGTATGAGTTCACACACGCCATATCCAAATAAGATAGGGTCTCGTAGAGCTTGTTGCCTGTGAATCCACTCCGCTTCAGGTGGAAGGCCCCAAAGCACGTCTCCTCCATATCAAGTTTGCCATATGCTCCGTTGGCCAGTCCAAACCCTGAGTTGATGTCGAAGCCCCCTATGGGTGTGCATCTCGCTGGCGTACATGATAGTCTTGAGTGCAGGTACTGCATGGCTAACTCGGTGCTCTTCTGCTGCGCCTTCTTTGCAGTGCCAGTTTCGTATAGCGGCGGGGGGGGGCCGTCAGCGCCAGGATGTCGAAAGCGCGCGTCTTCAAGCGAACATCTCCAGAGCGCCCCTGCAGTCCACGAAGTGCTGGTGTAACTGCTGTGATGTGGTTCCGTCGTAGCCGCCTGCCCACCACAATGCAAGTACCTGCAAAGTTCGTCACAAAAGGTTGACCTCCGCCACCCGAAATGTATTGCTGTCCGTCGGTCTGGGAGGTTCTGCACGTGGTACTGGCGGTCGGGCCACTCTTGAACTCGCGTGCCGTTGAGAAGTAATATGTCGACATCCAGCACCTGAGCGATCTCCTCCAGCCGAGAACTCTGCACCAAAGACAGTGGGTTGTGAAAAGCCACTCGCAATACGCATCGCATTCGATCCCCTCACTGGACCTGTGTCCACATATCAGAGGGAGAGTGGGGGGTCGTCGGGAAGGCGCGAAGTGTGGGGGGGCCTTCTGATCGCTGCTTGTTGCTATGCTTGAGCCGAGGTGGCAGCTTCGCGTACCAGTTTGGAGTTAATTATTGGGACCCTTTGGGGTCATCTTGGATGCATGTGTGTCTCTTGGGGCGTCCTTAGGGGCCTCATGGGATGTCCTGATGCCTCTCCAAAAAGCGCTCAAACAGCACCCAAGCAACATTCGAGACATAATCTAGACACCGCTAAGAAATCATACAAACGGAACCCAGACAATGCCACAAACAGCGAGCAGGGAGGAGGGAGAAGGGGTGCGAGGAGGAAGGCGGGCGGGACGAGGACGAGGACGAGGACAAGCACGAGGAGATGGAGGATCACTCGCTGCCTGTACCCTCTCGGCATCCATGCCGACCACCGTGCACTCGCGCTGCGAGCCAGACGCGTCCAGCACCGCGACCTTCGGCGGCGCGTAGAAGGAATGGGGGGAGGGCAAGGCCAGGGTTGGGTCGGGCGTGTCCTCCTACAGGCAGATTTGGAAACAAAAAATCAAAAATGGACAAACGAAATTCCCAACCATCCTGTTGTGTTGGGTTCTCGTTTTGAAGAGACGGTCCCCGCGTTCCCTCCTTTCTTCCTCCCCCTTCCCCCTCCTCCTCCCTCCCTGCGTTTCACCCACCCAGTACAACGCTCCGTGGCCCCATAGGGAGCTCCACAAGAGCCCCCAGTGGGACCGTCCGCAGGCGTCCCGGAAGCCCAATTTAGCATGTTCACCCACCCAGTAGAGCGTTTCGTGGCCCCGTAAAAAGCTCCACCGAAGCCCACATTGCCACCGTCCGCGCGTCCCCAAGCACCCAATTTGGCATTTTCACGCACCCAGTACAGCGTTCCGTGGCCCATAGGGAACTCCACCGAAGCCCCCAATGCCACCGTCCGCATGCGCCCTGGAACATCCAGTTTGGCATTTTCACGCACCCTGTACAGCGCGTCGTGGCCCCATAGGGAGCTCCACCGAAGCCCCCAGTGCCACCGTCCGCAGACGTCCCCGAACACCCAATTTGGCATTTTCACCCACCCAGTGCAGCGCTTCGTGGCCCCATAGGGAGCTTCACGGAAGCCCCCAGCTGGACCGCCCGCACGCGTCCCACACACCCAATTTGGCATTCTCACCCATTCAGTACAGCGTTTCGTGGCCCCATAGGGAGCTCCACCGAAGCCCGCAGTGCCACCGTCCGCGCGTCCCCGAACACCCAATCTGGCACTTTCACCCACACAGTACAGCGCTTCGTGGCCCCATAGGGAGCTCCACCGAAGTCACCAATGGGACCGCCCGCGTGCGTCCCGGAAATTCAATTTGGCATTTTCACCCACCCAGTACAACGTTTCGTGGCCCCATAAGGAGCTCCACCGAAGCCCCCAGTGCCACCGTCCGCGCGTCCTGGAACACCCAATTTGGTATTTTCGCATACCCTTTACACCGCTTCGTGGCCCAATAAGGAGCTCCTCCGAAGCCCCCAGTGGGACCGTCCGCAGGCGCCCCGGAAGCCCAATTTAGCATTTTCACCCATCCTGTGCATCGTTTTGTGGCCCCATACAGAGCTCCACCGAAGCCTCCAGTGCCGCCGTCCGCATGCGTCCCAGACGCCCAATTTGGCATTTTCACCCTAGGGAGATCCACCGACGGCCCCAGTGCTACCGCCCGCACGCGTCCCCCCCCCCGACCCAGTGCAGCGCTTCGTGACCCCATAAGGGGGCTTCACCGAAGAAGATATTCACAATTGCGGTACATGGTTGGGTCCTTCGCCAGTGTAACCCAAAAATATTCAAAAATACCCCCCCAAAAAAGTATCCCCACACGATTTTCTAAAAAATATTCCTCCTGCAGAGGGACATGCCCGACTTCAGGCCAGGGGGGGGCCTCCCGAGAACAGCCCCCCCGCCCCTCAGACGCGGCGGGGCGCCTGGCTTCCGAGGGGGCGCTCCCCTCTGAGGTGCGAGGCCCTGCCCCTGCCCTCTCGAGAGGCCCCCGGCTCCCCTGCCTCCTCCGCCTCGCCTCCACCACGAAAGTGCTGACGTCGTGCCGTCGCTCGGACGTCCACCGCTCGTCCTTCGGTCTCGTGCGCTGCCCTGCTCCTCGCAGGATGGCCCACGATGCTCCTGCGCGGTCCACATCTGTGTTCTGGCGCGGGCCTCGCCGGGCAAGCGCGCGCACGCGCTCGAGCGAGATGCCAGGACGTCCGCCCCTGCAGCTCCGGACCCGCGCATCCGCCCTGGCCAACCTCTCGATGGGGGCCCCGGGGCCCAGGGGACGGGCCGCCCCCTCCAGGGGAGGAGGAGGAGGAGGAGGAGGAGGAGGAGGAGGAGGAGGAGGAGGAGGAGGAGGAGAGGAGGAGGAGGAGGAGGAGGAGGAGGAGGAGGAGGAGGAAGAAGAGGAGGAGGACTGCTCGCCGCGGCTCGGGCTCCCCTCGCGGCGTCCGAGGCCTGGGCTGCTCGCCGCCGGGGCCTCCGGGGGTCTGCTCCTCCGACCCGCCTCAAGAGGAGCCCCGCCCCGGCCAGGGCCCTCCCAGGCGGATCCCGCCGTGGTGACGAGGACGCTCCTGGAGGCCCAGGCAGAGCGCGAGGCACACCCAAAAGCGCCCGCGAGCCCGCCGCAGGGCAGCGCGCAGAGCAGGCGGGGCGAGGGGGCCTCCGATAGGGGGCTTCCACGAATGCCCCTTGGCATGCAGGGAGGTCCTCTCGGAAGCGCCCCTTCCCTTGCCTCTTCGGGCGCGGCCTAATCGACCCCTTGCTAAGAGAGAGCGTGGTCCACCGCCGCTTTACTGTGGAAAATTGCCAACCTTTTGCTCTGGAACCCGGGGGCTCTGGAACCCGGGGGTCGCCCACCCCCCCCCCCCTCCGAAAAATCCCCCCCCCCCTGCTGAACCCCTCCCCCCCCCCCCCCTCCCCCCCCCCCCCCCACCCCCCCTCCCGGAAAACAACCAACCCCCCCCCCCCCCCCTCCCCTCCCCCCGGAAAACCCCTCCCCCCCCCCCCCCCCCCCCCCCCCCCCCACAAAACCCCCCCCCCCCCTCCCCCCACCCCAAAAAAAACCCCACGCCCGGTTCAAACCCCCCCTACCCCCCACCCTACCCCTCCCCCCCACCCCGTCCCCCCCCCCCCTCAAACGGTTCGGCACCCCCCCTTCCCCTTTCCCCCCCCCCCCTACTCACCGCCAGCAAACGACTCCCGGTCCCCACCACCGTCCGCATCACATCCCCCACTGGTGTTCCCAGCACCACTGTCCTCACCACCGCTGTCCCCACTGGTTCCACCACCGCCCCTACTGTCCCCACCAGTGGCCCCACCACTGTCGCACTGTCCCCGCTGTCCCCAGAACTGTTCCCACCACGGTTCCACTCTCCCCACTGTCTCCACGGCCCCAACCACTGCCCGACTATCCCCACTGTCCCCACTGTCCCACTGACTCCTCCGCTGTCCCACTGAGCTGTCCCACTGTTCCCACCACTGTCCCCACTGTCCCCACCACTGTCCCCACTGTACCTCTGTCCCATTGTCCCACCGCCGTCCTCGCCACCGCCTTCACCACTGTCCCCACCACCATTGTACCCTCCACTGTCCCACTGTTTCCACCTCATTCCCATTGTCCCCACACCACTGTCCCCACCACCACCGTCACCACCACTGTCCACTGTCCCCCCCTGTTCCCGCCATTGTCCCCACCACTGTCCCCACCACTACCGTCCCCACCACTGTCCCACTGTCCCACTGTCCCCACCACTGTCCCGCTATCCCCTCACCACTGTCCCCACCAACACCGTCCCCACCACTGTCCGCACCCCCACTCGGTTTTCGAGGGAGGGGGGGGTTCGAACCGGTAGTGACCCCCCCCGGTTTTCCGGATCCGGAGGGGGGGGGGGGGGGGGGGGGGGAGGGGTTCGAACCGGTAGTGACCCCCCCCCCTTTCATGATGAGCAGGGGGGGGGGGGGGGAGGGGTTCGAACCGGCACCCCCCCCGGGGAGGGGGGGGGGGGGGGGGATGGGTTCGAACCGGTAGTGACCCCCCCCGGTTTTCCGCCAGCAGCGGTAGAACACGCTCTTTCCTTGCTAACCATCCCCCTCCGTGACGCCATCCTTGCCTTTCGAGCTCCCCCAGGGCCGAGATTCGGTTTCTTTACAACCCGAACGACACTTTACAACCGAGATAGGTCATTTGACAACCAGCAAGTGATCGAATTCCTTGGTTTTCCTTTGAGAACGACCACTTTACAACCAGAGAAGCCCAGTTTACAACCAGAACGACCACTTTACAACCCAGACGGGGCTCTTTGCAACCAGAGCGGCCGCTCTACAACCAACGTTCAAAACCGCGCGCGCGCTCTGCATGGGCTGGTGAAGCGTCTGAGCGTCTGAACGTTCTGCAGAGGTATCTGAGGGCTGAGCGCTGCGCAAAAGCTTCTGAGCGCCTGACCGCTTGCCTGAGCGCTCTGCAGAGTCTCCTAAACGCCTGAGCGTTCTGCAAAGGCTTAGCGCCTGAACGCAGGCTTAGCGCCTGAACGTTGCGCAGAGGCTTCTGAGCGCCTGAGCGCTCTGCATAAGCTTCTGAGCGTCTGAGCGTTTTGCAGAGGCTTCTGATCGCCTGGGAGCTTTGCAGAAGCTTCCGAGCGCCTGGGCGTTTTGCAGAGGCTTCCGGGCGCCTGAGCGTTCCGAAATCTTTGCGAATCGAAACCAAAAGCTGCTTGCAATGCCCAAACAATTCAAATTAAAATCCGCATGCATTTGCTAGAATTTAACCCACGATTTCTTGGGTTCTTTCCGCCCTCCTGGGCACGCATGCCTCCGCAACTGCGCAAACATGCAGTTTTGCGATTGCCAGGCGATGGGGCGCGAGGACAAGCATGGCTTATGATAAAAAGAAAAAACACCATAAACAGCAACACCACAATATGAAATCCACACGCGTTGGCTAGAGTTGTACAAGCGATAGCTTGGCCACATTTCTGCCCTCCTGAGTACGCATGCTTCCGAGAATGCGAAACATGCGGTGTTGCTATTGCCAAACGATGAAGCGCGAGGGCGAAAGTTGTCAGCGAGGCCGAAAACAACAAATTGACATCCTCACGTAATGGCTCGAATGTTACCATCGATTTCTTGGCCAACTTTTTCCGCCCTGCTGGGCACGCATGATCGCAGTTGCGAAAGCAGACGTTTGTCGTGATTGTCAGACGATGAGGCGCGAGGACAAACATGGTCTATAATGAAAAAGGCCGCAATTTGAAATCCACATGTATTGGCTGGGATGTTGACATCTATTTCGTTTCCATGGTTCCGCCCTCCTGGGTATGCATGAATGCGTTCGCGAATGCGAACACCTACGGTTTTGGTACTGCCAAACGGTGAGGCGCGAGGACTAAAGTTGCCGTTGAGGCCAAACACACACACACACACATTGAAATCCACTCATTCCGGCTACAACTTTGCCATCGATTTCTTGGCAACATTGCCGCCCTCCTGGGCACGCATGCTCCCGCAATTATGAACACATAGTGCTGCTTGCTAGTTCCAGAAGATGAGGCGCGATGACAAACGTGGTTTTGAAAACAAGAAACCAACCATTGGACATCCACATGTATTGGCTAGAAATGTATCAATCGCTTCTTTACCACATTTCGCTTTCCTGGGTTCGCATGCTTCCGCACATGCGAAAACATACGGTTGCGTCGCTGTCAGACGATGAGGCGCGAGGGGAGGGCAACATATATTTACAATACCAGAAAAGCGCTTATGTGTTACCTGCTGTTTCCCTTCCGCTGGGCGGCGCAATGCTCCCCTGCGCCCCCAGCTCTCGATCCGAATGTTTACGGACGCAACTGATTGCGGACCGCTATGATCCAACTTGCTGACCGAAACTGGATGGCACAAGTATCCACACTGCGCACCCGACACCAGGGCAGACGCCTTCTCACGGCGCGCGTCGGACACTGTCAGCGGCCCAAATATCCTAAACATTGCACCAGCTGAATGGCTGACCTGCCGCACGCGATGGATACAAGTATCTTCAGAGGTGCATCCGAGTCCAGGGCAAGCGCCTTCCCGGGGCGTTAGTCGAAACTATTCGTCGTCCAATTCCCAAAACAGCGCAGCACCTCGCTCGACGGACGGAAAAGGCATGCGTGCACTTGCGGACGCATGTTCGCAGGATGACGTAAAACACAATATGCTTCGCATATGAAGCGCATGACTGTGATATAATGTGGCCGACGACTTCTTGGCCACATTTCCGCTATCCTGGGGGCGCGCCTGCTCCTCTGCGTCTGTTGCTGCGAACGTGTATTGTTCTCTATCTCCAGAAGAAGCAGGAATTGTAGGCAGAGGTTATGAGGCTCAAAAAAACGGTATCGAATTATGGCGTGGATATC